TACAGGCACATTAAAATTTTTGCTAATATCACAGGTGAAAAATATTTATTGACCTCTTGTACTTCTATCTATAAATTGCCTATTCAGATCCTTTGTTAGTTTTTTGTGTTTTTATCTGTTGAGTTGTGTTTTATTTTGTTATTTATTGGATCTCTTTATATCTTATGACCTGTAATAACCCTTTCTCGGTTAGATATACGGTAAATATTTTCTCCCAGTTTATCATTTGTCTTTTAAATTTTGTCGTTCATTGTAGATAATCTTAAATTAATGTGTAGTCAAATCTAGCTTTTATGGTTGAGAAAGACTTTCTTTATTCTGAGTATATTTTTTAAAGTTCTCTGGTATTTATCTTATTGATCATTGTTTTTTTCTCATGTTTAATTCTTAAATCCACTATCCTGAAATACTTTTGTGTAAGATATAAAGTAGAGCTGTAACTTTTTATTTTATTTTTTCTTCTACATGGATCATCAATTGATCTGGCTCCTTTTATTAACTAATTAATCTTTTTGATTTGAGATGCCAACTTTATCTTATACCATTCCTGTATAAATATGCTTGTTTTTGGTTTATTGATATACTGGTCTTATTGCGTCTCTCTCTTTTTTCCTAATATAATTTCATAATAAATCTTGATATGTTCTATGACAAGTTTCCTTCTGTAATTCTTTTTTTAAAATGTAATTTAAAAAAACTCCAAATCTCTAGATTATTTTGAAGTATTAACTTCTTCTAAATAAACTTGTTTTTAGATAGGTATTATATCTATTCTTCGTGAAGCTTAATATTATCGTTTTATAGTTTTTGTTACTATTGCGAATGGGTTTTTTGCCCTATTACATTTTCTGTTAATTAATAATACACTGAAAGGTTATTGATTTCTCTGTATTTATATAGTATTCTTTTACTTTACTGAATTCTAATAGTTTTTCAGTGGTTTCTATTAGATTTTCTAGGTGGAAATGTATGATATCTGTAAATAAAAGCAATTTTGCATTTCCCTTGGGAAAAAGAAATATATTTTTAGTTACACATCTAGTTCTTAGCATGTGCCAAACACTGTTCTAAATGTTTAGGTCATTTAATCTTTTCAACAGTCTATGAGGTTAGTGGTATAATTATCCCTATTTTATATATGATATTACAGAGGATGAGGAAACTGAAGCTCAGAGAGGTTAAAAACTTGCTGGAAGTCACATAGTAAATAGGAGAGCCAGAATTTTAACACAGGTGATTTGGCTTTGCTGTCCATTCTCTGAACCACTATGTAAATCTATAGATTATTTTTCTGTATAAGGAAATTTTTATGAATACTAGATTGAACAGCTATGAAGCTGACATAATGTGAAGCTTCATACACATTTATTTACTATTTATTAACTTACATTTTGAGGTTTTTCTCTTTGTATTATAAGGTAGATTTTTTATTGTGGTAAAATATACATAACAAAATTTCCATTTTAACCATTTAAAAATGTGACATTATGTACATTCACATTGTTGCACTACCATCACAACAATCCATCTCCAGAATTTTTTCATCATCCTAAATTGAAACTCTATACCCCCATAGAAAGCTGGAGTTAATAAACTCAATCCTCAAAATAATCCTATGAAGGATAGAGGAGAAAATAAATTCAGGAAGATTAAATAATTTGCCTAGGACCACACAGAGGACCGACATCAGCTCTTACCCACTCCTCCAAATCCTTTGGGCTGTGGGAGTGGAATTAGCTTCTAGGAAGATGTGGAGGGCAGAGGGGTGGAAGCTGGCTTTGGGCCCATGCCTTCTTCTGTGTCATCTAGTCCCCAGCACCAAGGCTACAAGTTCTTTTAGGAAACCTGACAACTTGTGTTATGGTAACCTGCAGGTTATAAAAAGCATTTGACTCATCACTACTAGAGAAAGTTTAATTACCCTTTAAAAGTGGATTTGCAGAATGGATTGTGAAAATACATCATTGTTGTGAAAATGTACCCCATGCTTGCCTTTTAGATATGCCTTAGTGTTGGTTCAGTGTGGATAGATTTACTGGACAACACGTCAGGAAGTTATTATTTAAAGGGCACCTGCAGAATGGTACTGCACAACAAAAATGGGGGGAAAAGGATGACCCTTCTCCATTGATAGAAGGAAATTTCTAGCAGGGTAAGCCAAGCCGAACAGATGTAAAAATAAGAATCAGTTTGATCTTATCTTTGAGTAGCAGAAAACATCGAGAAACCTGCTGAATTATCTACCATTTTTATGAGACATGTGATTAAATAGCCAACAATTATGCTGAAACTGCTGTGCCTTCTATCCTCATGATGCTATGCTCTGAGTTACTGCTTTCCACACCATCAGGCTCTTTGGTCTTGCTCTCCCTCCCTCCTACATCTATGAGGAGTGATTCACATTTTTGTTCTCATTTGGTTACTCAAGAGTGTTGAACATACTGTAACACAACCCAATAACCCATGTTATTCTTAGATGTCCACTCCTTTGTTGAGAATCAAGATGTGCTTTAGGAATTGAGAGAACTTTGTGTTTGACTATTTAATATCCCTCCATATCGAGTCACACATTCAGGTTAGAGAACAAAAACAATAGCTGGTAATAATCTCTATAGACAAAATGGCTTCATATTTTTTCATCATATTTAATAATGTAGGGAGCCCAGAGCCAATAATTTGAAAAGCTCATGCTAGTCATACCTCTATCATCCAAAATGGCAAGATAGCAAATCTTCTGAGGAAAGAAAAATGTTACATTTTGTAGTTCTATTTCAAAGGATAGGAAAAGAGGTTGTTACCTGTATCCCGATAGACAGGCATCGATTTTTCTTAAAGTGATCCTTCTTTCTGTCCTCTGTAGTGATGGTGGCTATGGTAGTCGTGGTGGTCACGGTGGCAGGGTTGTTGCCCATGTGTTGGCTTGCAGGGCCGTGGATCTGGGCATTTGCAGCTTCGATGGCGGCTGTCAGAGCCTTCATACTGTCCAGGCTCTCCGTGGAGTTGCTTAGTCCAGACTGGCTGATAATATCTCCTCGCTGGCCCTGTCCGTCCATGTAGGCATCCTGGGCAGACTCTGTGCTACTCTGGGCTGTGATAGAAATGAAAGGTTTCGTGGTAGTTCTGGGTGGGACTGGAGGTGGTGTCTTCTTATATGTTGTAATGCAAGATGACACTGGAAGACAGTGAAAACAAAGACACTGTGATTTCTGCATGGGTTTTAATTTCTGATATTGTAACTGACATCCATTGGAAATTAGGGCACATGAAACACGGTAAGACATTTAACATAACACAAGTCCATTGACAAACTAAGTGAGATCCCTGCTTAGGCCCTTAGCAGATCCATAAGGTGACACCCTTACAAAATTGAGAGAAAAAAAAGACTGGAAGACACCAACCTCTGAGACAGAAGTTTCTGAAATGGAAATTAATGTGAATCAACATAAAATAGACATGAATAGCCATCTGTAGAAATCTTTCCAGGCAACAGTGCACCCTGAGAGATAATATATACATGTGGGTAAGGCCAGGGTGGTCTCCGCCTTCTCAGGAAAATATAAAACATAGCTAATGTTAAACAAAGTAACTCATTAGAGAAAATTCTGGTGGTTGATAATTAATATTGGAAAAAGGAGTAGGAAAGCAAAAAAGGTTATGAGCATGTATAATCCTAGTAACAGTAAGATGTAGGGAGTGGGGGATGGGATGCACAGCATGACGTCATAGCTTCCTGCAGTTTGATTTTATCAGCACCCCGTTACTCTCTTTCCCCCTTCCTTCCTACCTCCCTTCCCTTCCTTCTTCCCATCTCCTCTGCCTCACTCTCTTCCTTTCTTCCTCTTTTTTCTTTCTTTTTTCTTTCTTTCTTCCCTGCCTCCTTTCTTGATAGCTTCTCACTACATAAACTTTTGTTCTGAATTTTTTGGCATTGTTCCTGAACAGAATTACCTACTGAGAGGGAAGATGCTGTACTAAAGTCTCTTATCATAAAATAAACGCACATACTAGTTTATAAATCAGTCTGTGTGTGTGTGCAGTCGGTTTGAGCTTATTCCCTAACATACTGTCCCTTCAGGGAGACTTGATCAACATGAGGGCCTGAATGAATCTGTGCAGTGAGGCGTCTATCTTGGGCCTGTGCAGTCAGTTAAGATCCTCCTTGAGGCTCCAGACGAAGCAGCTTTTAGGCCCTCTCTCCAACCATCTGATTATAACCCTGAGGGTCCTGAAAAAGCTTTACACACTGGATTTTAGCTTTCCATTTGTGAGCACGATGTAGGAAAATACAGATCAAAATGAATTACTGTTTCCAAGTGGGAACTCCCTGCCAGTAAAGGACAATTCCTTAACCAGCTTTCTAAAGATTTTCAGTTAGTCCCTTTAAAACATAGATCAAACTATTGTGTCTCCATCACTTTCTCCCCACCCCCTACCATCCTCACGCCGTCAGCTGGCATCACTGCTGTTACACTGAATCAGCTGGTCCTGACCACACAATCCCAGCTCCTTCCTCTTGGGTCCAGATGCCACATGGGCCATCTTGCAGAATGAAATACTAGCCTCAATATTTAGGACGTTTCCTGAGGCCATTCAAAGGAAGTATCCAATAATGCACAATAAACAGAAAGATCCTATTATGCTGTCCTGATGTTCCGCTGCCCTGTGATTCAGAGTAATTTCCTTAACCGTAAAAGAGACAGGGACAGAAATGTTTCGCTGCTTCCCAGGGATTGCCTGAGAGGTGAAGGAAAAACAACACACAGACATCACATTACAATATCATATGTGTTCTTGGGGAGGTGGAGGAAGGTAATGTGAATAATACATATGTAGTCACCTCTCAAGTTACCTGGGATAGATGACTGGGTGGAAGCTCACTTCAGGAAAACTTTCCATCTAAGAGTATCGCATAAAACTTACATCTTTACATGTAAACAGAGCTCAGCAATAAACAGCCCTGAGAGGTAACGCGGCCAGTGAGTGATGCACCCACGCGGTGCAGAGCCGGGAGCAGAACCAGTCTGGTCTCCGGTTCTCTCACAGGCCACAGTGAAGCTTATGGCCAAGTAATTAATGCAAAGCATGCATTGCTGTATTTACACTTTTATGCACTGTAAACACTGCGGAGCTACCTTCTGCTTCTTGGGAAGGTCTGAACAGAATAGCCCTGCTGGGGGTAATGCTCAGGCTCAGTTATGCCTCTGAAGACCAGAGTGTGTAGGAGGGGGAGTGACCATAATTAGGATAGAATCTGTCTATTCAAATTGAATGAGACTAGATCATTTTATTACTTTTCCTAAGACAAGTCTTTACAATGTGAACTTACTATTTTGTTCAGAACGGATTCTCAGGACATTCGGCCCATTCGTATTCCAAAGAAACTAAATGCCACATTCCAACATCAAATGTCTGATCATTTGAGTGATTTACTGCTTGTGGTTAGCTACCCCCAGTTTCCTCTTTCAGTGTGGATAGTCAAAACTAGACAATGCTGCAGCCAAATAGAGTATCATTTCATTTGCTGCGATTTACAGTAAAAATTCTGCCAAGATGTGATAAGTGTGATAAGGGGGTGGAGGTTCACATTATTTCCATGTAATGAATGGCAGGGCTTGGGGACACTCTCTGGGGCCAAACACAATTTAGTACCATCCAATGGCTGTCAGCTCTTCTTTGATATCCATAGGGATAACTCTGGGTACTTTGATCGACAGAGACTTTCAGATGGCAGAAGCAATGATAGAAATTCACAAGGGTTAAATCAGACAGCAAGAATCCTGGGGCCACAGCTTCCCTAACAGGCCGGCCCAGCCCTAATGCCCAAAGGAGGTAAGAATTTAAGACTGTCTCACTTCAAACAAGGAAGATGACTAGAGGACAGGAATCACCTCGGTGTTATGTCCCCGGGGCTTATTATGAGGTTCTACTGCAGTGTGCAGCTTGGCACAATTCTGCAGCAGGAGTCTCACTCAAAGAAGCACCACCTGTCAGTTATCAAACAGGAATTTAAAAGGAATTCAAATTTTTAAGAGGGCCTTTTGAAGCAGAAGAAAGAAGATCCAACACACGGCGCACACTTCTCACAATTCCCTTCCTTCCCATCCTCCAAATCATTTGCATTCAAGGCTGTTCTGGAAACTTATACAACTAAACCCCCCAATTCCCCCCAGCATTACTCTTTCCTAGCTTTTCAGGCTAAGCCCTAAACCCATCTTCTCTCCTAAGGTTGTGGGTTTTCTTTCTTATTAATTATACTCTCATAATTCAGTACCATAAATGACTTAGAATCCCCTGAGGTCTGAGTGCAAGCAAGCATATGGTAGAGGAGGGTAAAGCACAAGTTAATAAATCTTGTCTGGTCAAGACAGAAAGAGAGATAAGCAGCTTATAGACAGTAAGTGAAACACTTAATTTTTTTTAAGAGTAATATTCTCAAAAAGGTTGATTTCAAATGCAAGTGCTCCTTTTATTCAAGTGGAACTTGAAAAAGAAATGATACATTTAATCATTATTGCTTTGCTCTGAAATGTTTGTTTGTTTCAAATAAAATGATTTTTTCCCCTTCTCTGGGTCCCGAAGATACACTACCCTACCTCCCAGCTCAAAGTTGGCTGAAAGGATTCTATCCATGTCTAAGTCAGCCGGATTCCAGATTTCAAAGACATCACTTTCATTCAGATAGTACTGCAGAGCACAGAGAGACGCATGGTTGGCTTTTACATTTTAGTTAGGAAGTTATTTTTAAAAAGTCACAGAGAAAACAAATGAGAACAAATTTCTATCCTATTTCAGCTTCTAGTTGACTATTCAATATTGTTTCTATTTGCATAGAAAGTTAATGCCAGTGTTGTAAGCCTCAGGAAAACCTGTGCCAGGAACTAGTTTTTTCTGTAGCGGTGATGGTTTTCTGGAAAAATATGTAGACTCTCTTACCAGTCTGGTTATCTTTTTGTGATCAAGAGCACACATATGTCAGGTGGCCAGAAAACAGATGCAGGATCAAACCCACTTGCTTTATATTCTTTTTAATAGGTTCTTACGAGCTAAGTTAATGGGTCACATACTATAAAGCTTTGCTGAGAAATTATTTAGCAGTTCCTGGTTACTGAATTTTAGAAAGTCTTTCGAATAAGAATATAAAACAACAACAGAAGTATTCCAGTTTTAGTGTATGTGCCGCCGAAGGGAGCTCAACAAAGGCATTCAAAATATACATACGCATAGAGTTGTGCAGGAGTCAAACAACACCTTTTGAGATAAAACAAGTTATCCTAAGCTAGTATTAACCACAAAGCAAGCTATGATTTGATCTGCCTTCAGTAGTGGCAAGCTTCTGCACAGAAGTCATGGTCAAAGCAATCTTGGCTTTGTACCAGATGCTCTTACTGAGCTGAAGACCACTAGAGAGAGAAGGCGAGCCTCAACCTACCGCCTAGTTTCTGTTGGGGCCACAGGTCTCCTGAGTTAGGCAATTTGGTGCAGCTGAACAGCAGTTTAGTAAGCTCTCAAAAGGAAGTGCTTTACCGAAAAGGAGATTTTAAAATATTGAATGGAGTTAACAGTGGGAAGCTGGAACTGTCTCCTATCAGCTTGCTAGAGTTGATTGTACACATCTCTTCCCGAAATGTTCAGTGACATTTCATTGCTACCTTGAAACCGACCTTGGTGTAAGTCAGTAGGAGAGCCAATTGTTAAGCTTTTCCAACACACCTCTGTGCATAGAGGTATTATTTAAAATGTGATCCACAGACAGGTGTTGATTCACAATTTGATGACTGCATGGTGAGATATATCATGAAAACTGAGAGTGAGCTTTTAGAAACTTTTACGCAATTCTACAGAGTAGTTTGTCAGTTGAATCTAATGAAAAGAAAACTGAGCTTGCTCTTAGTGTGCCTTTGTTTTTTTAATTTCTTTTTTCTAGTAATTCATTTCTTATTACATTTTACCAAAGTGTTGACCTGCAACAGATTGGCCATCAAACGAATAAATAAGCAAACTGGTCCATCATGGGAGATAGATTGAGAAGCACTGATTAGAAACATTTGCAAGTCCAGTGAACAGCAGAGAGGTAGTGCATGTGAAATTAAGAACATATTAGAGGCGCACTAAACTACAGGTGACTTTAGGAAACAAACGATGTGAGAGGCCAAAGAAAAAAAAAGAAATGTGGAAGGACCTGAACTTGGGACATAAAGAGATGACTGCACAACTGTGGAATGGGGTGAGTAGACTTGTGGTTTTAATATGTCCGGTAAGCTGCCTATTTCTAAGAAGGTGTGTATGAGTAGAAGTGTAATATCTAGAACGATGGAAGGATCCTTGTGTTGCATTTCATTGTGGGCCCCTCTCTTTAAGGGGAAATTGCAGGGTGCAGCAAAGAGAAAAACCATATCTTATGAGGAATGGCTTAAGGAAAGGGGTCGTTTAGTTTGTGAGGGAAGGAAGAGAGAGGCATTTTTAGTCATTTCAAAGGCTACTGTGTAGAGGATGGCACAGACATGTTTTTTATAAGGTCTCAAGGGAAAATGCAAAAGTGAAAGCCAAGAGAGGCATAAAGAGTAATTCCCCTGTAGTCAGTTGCCCAAAGATGGAATGTGAGGACCTCACCGGATAGTGAGTGCTCAGTCCCTGGAGGTAGTCAAGCACAGACAAGCTCATCTTTTGGCTGGGAAGCTATTGAAATTGTACCACCATCTTAAGGGGGCTTAAAGTAGGTGACAAGATTTCTTTCAAACTGTAGCTTCTGTGGCTTTAGAATATGAGTGAAATCTAGAAAAGAATTTGAGAAGACACCCACTGAGAGTGATACTAAATAAATGAAGAAGAAAGCCAGAGAGGGGGCCAAGGAGAGTTACCAACAAGGCTGTTTAAGCAGTCACACATGTTCATATGTCTTGGGTACCGATTTTGGCATGGATGAGCACAAAAGGGCCCACGGAGAAGTTTGCTGCTGCTTTCAGTCGGAAGGTGCATAAGTGCTGACCATACAGTGAGTTGTGGAGGTTGTGCTCTCACTGGTGATGTGCTACTCAGGCCAGGCTCACCCACCCAGTGCCAATCAGTGGTCTGGCTCAAGTACTTCACAGGACAAAAGTGCAAATCCAGATGAAAACAGAGATGATGAGATGGAGAATTCGTCCATACCCTCCATGTGTCATTAGATCAACTTAATCACCCGAGTGAATCCTTACTCTAACACACACTGTGCTAAGAATTTAATAGACATGGTCTCATGACAAAGGAAGACCTCACTGTCCCCACTTGTTTGATGGTAAGACTGAGGCTCAGAGTAGGTAACTGATGTCTTTAAGTCATACAGCTACTAAGTGGTAGTTAGCATACTCAAGACTCCAAATCTCATCTCTTTTCCTTCACCCAAACCACCTGAATTCATCCCCCCATGAAAACCTTCCATTTCAACACCTTGTCCAGTTAAGCTTACGGCTTTCCATGAGAAACTGCCAGGAAACTGCTCCTAGCACAGTAGTTTGTGCTCTGCAAGAACCTGTCAAGGGTTTGGAGAATGTATGAATTTGGAGTATTAGACAAAGAGGTGCACCAGCGGCAACTTTAAAAATACTGCAAAAAGGAGAAACTCCAGAAAATACACATGGAAAAATTGCTCCCGTGTTTCAAAATATTTACAGCTTAATATTTACAGGCCACCCAAAGTGTGGCGGTTAGTGGTCCTTGCCCTGCCGACGTCAGTGACAAGGCAGAGGGCTGTTGGGGTGGGGCGCTTCTGGGAGAGGCACAGGGCTTCCCCTAGCCTTCTCTCCCGGTTAGTTTTGGCTGGAGGGACGTGGCTATGAGAATGATTTCCACTAAAGCCATCCTCCACGGAAACCACAAAGACTAGTTAACCTTTTCTCCATGGAATAGAAAAGCATGCTTGTGTGAGTGTGTAGGAGGAGGAGCGGGAATGTGGACAGAGGGAGGGGTAGTGTAATAACTCATGTAGTCATAAGACTTGCCCGTTGGTAGTTACTAGTATTCCAGACACTTCTTAATGCCAGACAAATGCCCCAAGCCTCAGCATGTCTGGCTCAGAGATCTATTCAACTGATAGCAGCCGTTTCTTGTGCAGAGAGCAGACCTTTCAGGCAGCAGTGCTCTAAGGCTGATCAAACATAACATTGTTCTCAAAAGGAAGAATGGAAAGGTTTGTTTCAGAGTCACAACTTTTTTTTTTTTTTTTCCAAAGAGGCACTCAAGTTGTTTTAACAAGTTGCTGCAGAACTTGGGCTTCCTGAGGTGAGCCTGTTGCTCAGTGCCTGTACTGTACCAAATTCCAGAGAAGGAGGGATCAGAAAGTTAGTCATTAAAAAGGAAGGGGAAAAAAAGCCCCAGGCACTTCATGCCTGGAAATGATGTAAGACGCAGCCACTCCTCTGTTAGAACTACAATCAAACAATGCTCAGGCAATCCACAGCAGCTGCTCTCCAAATGTCAGCACCAGCCCCGTCAACAGAGCTTGAAAGCCACCAAGCTGAAGGACTTTGTGCTGTGCCTTTCTCGCCCACATTTTCCCCAAGCACTCTCAGGAACCTGGCAACAGGTAACGTGGCAACCTTTGCTTTATAAAATGGCAAATGGCATAATTTCAGAGTACAGATGGATTTTTTTTTTTAAAGCCAGCTGTATCTCCCGCACCACTCCCCACACCGACCCCCTCCCTCCCTCCCTCCCTCCCAACCAAAAGGCTTGGAAAACAGTACATTGGGCCTGGCAATCCTACTCTCGAGTGCCCCCTGGTGGCCACGCTTGGAACATCACCGATATATCTTGAAATCCGCTGCTCAGCTCTACGGTAAGTCACACTGTGGAAAGGGGAGGACATATTTGCTGAACTTGTTTTCCAAAAAAACATAAAATGTGGAAATCAAGACTAAGAATATCTTTCTTTTTAACTTATCGCCTTTTTTTTAACCTAGCTGCAGGGTAGATCTCTGGATTGAGGTTGCAGATTTTTTTAAGCCGCATCCAGTGTAACATTTTTTGGTTAAGATGGCCTGTTGAAAAGCAAGAACTGCTATTGCCATTTGGTTTGGTTTGGCGGGTGGCAGTGAGTATTAATAGCTTAGAAACTGAGGATTCCTGCCGGGTGGGACTTGCATTTTCCATTTTTATCTGAATTTGTTGCACGTAAAAAACTTTCTCAGGCAGAAGCGTTTCTAATTTGCCCTGCTGGCTTCCTTTTTAATGCCTGTTTGTAAGGATTACTTAGAATTTCCAGACTGTAGGCCCAGCCTCCTTGAGAGCATGCCTTACAGCCCCACCTTAGCTTTTTTATCTCTGTGTGGGCAGACACCCACAAAAATGCCAAGGGCAGTATTTTCAACCAGCCTTCCTCTCAGGTATTCCTTCTCCTGCTTGGCCTCTGCTTTGAAAGAATGGCTACGGTTGTGAGCTGCCGGTAGTTCCGGCCAGTTGAGAGGGCAACGTTCTTTCTCCCTCTCTGGAAATGTTAACTGGAACCTAAGAAAGAGGCTCAGATCAAAGGAACTGCTCTTTTCAGAAAATTCCATTAATTAACTAGATTAAAGGAAGTTAAATGATGTTTGGAGGAAAAGTCATTTTAGGAGGCCCAGATCCAGGGCTGAGGTCTAAAACTTCTAATGTGGACTTTTAATGAAGCTTGGCAACAAGTTAAATAGTATTAGAAATTGAGGGTTACCGTATGTAAAACCAGTTGTTGCCTGAAATCAGTCATTTCAAAGGAACATCTTGAAAGTAGACAAACATTTTGCTAGAATTTGCCCAGATCATTTAATACTAAATATAAAAAACCCAGGACTCTGAGTAAGAATCATTTGACCAGTAGCTAAGATGAGTCATAGCCTCTTAGAACTAGGTACACACGTTGAAGTCAGGATGTTGAGAACATCAGGCTTACTAATTTGCAAGACAGGGCTGTTACTTCCAGTAGAGAATGCGATCAGGATTTCATGGCTCATTTTCCCAGCCTTTCCAACAGGTGCTATTGAGTCATCCATGTACACAAGTGACTGCCCTGGCAGTTTCATCTGTTAGGATTAAATTTCCATTTGTTCCATTATTTTATGAAGTGATTTCTACCATTGAATCAGATATATCACTTCCTCTAGGACTTAGGAATTTTTTTTCAATGTTTGTAACATTGTGTGTTTTTCAAAATTTGTCCCAGCCAGGTCTGCAGGTCTTCCTGGGTTGAATGGGCTGTTTACAGGAGGGGAAGATTCAGGGCCCAAGGTCAGGGTTACCGAATTATATAAAGTTTCCTGTTTGGGCAGCTGCTCTACCAACTCCTCAGGTTAGGGCTGACTGAGTTCTGTTGAAAGGCAGCATAGGAGGTCTGGGGAGGGACATTGCCAGAGCGGGGAAGGACATTTTTCTTTTAAGCATCTCATCAACTAGCTTTCATTTCTTCTCAGATGTCACTTCTCAGCAATGCTTTCCTGTATTCTCTGTTAGGTGAATTTTTTTTTTTCCTGACCAGGCTGAGAGAAAAAAATTAGTTAAGGATGTTAGAATCACTGGGTGAAAGAATTGTTGTCTCTTTTGTTCATGATGTGACTACAGTACTTAGAACATGTGTGCCACATAGTAGGACCGTGCATGGTAAATTCTTGTTACATGAAGGAATGAAGAGGAATAAAAAGAGTCTTTCTGGAAAAAAGAAAAAGGGACTAATAACCAGTAAAAGGAGGTCACCAGGGCTTATGTAAAAGGAAGACTCGCCAAAGCCATTCTCAGCTATCTTGGATGTTGCAATATAATCTCCTGTTACCCGTGCCTGCTTCTGTTTGGAATTGGTCAATTGCAGTTGTGACGGCTAACTTTTGTCATTGAGCTACTATATAAAAGCCCAACCTAGTATCAGTGGAAACCTGTTGGTTTTATTGGTTATCCACCTAATTTGCTCCATCCTCTCTGCTTAGCTTTACCCATAGGCACTGAGCAGATGGCTGTGTGAGGGGCCCATGGTGCTAACTGCCCTTATCCTGTGTAGCTGCCTTTCTTCTCCTTAGTTTCTTTCACTCCTTATAATTTTTTGACTTACTATCCTGTACTCTGTCTGCTTGCACAAGATGGATTTCTGAGAGCCAGGGAACTTTCTTTACCTCCTGGTCTATTTCATGAGAATTAGTACTACCTGCACAATGGGACTTGGAGCCTGAAATACAAGGAAAAATCTGGAATGGAATTGCACAACCAAAGGGACTCTCCCACTGTGTAGCTGTGTGTTTGGTAAACAAAATAAAACTCAAATCTATCTGACTGGGAGGCTGTAAGGAGTAGCTGGTTGGTTCTGGATGGGAGCAGGGTATCTGGCACACATTGCTAACTTGTCGCCTTCGAGAAGGTGAGATAGCTGTGCGAAGTGAGTGGCATGTGTACGAACCAAGGTAGGTCATAGCTAATGAGAGTCCAGTCAGACTAAGTCCTAACTAAAACTCTAGGCTGGATTTATCAGTAACCTCTGCTCACTGGCAAGCTCTCACCGGGCTTTGTAAAGGAGGCCGACCTATCAGAGCAGCCCAATGCCGCTGCCCAATGGAGGGAAGTTTGGAGGGAGCAGAAGTTTTTGCATAGGACAAGCTCAAAACCCCAAACCTGGGAAAACAGGATGTGTGGGGAAGTAAGGAAGAAAGAAAATGCATCCACCATTCCTTCCTGTTGGTTTCAGCACGATGAGGAATAATTATCTGGGTCTGGAGAGCAAGGCATGTGGGAAGCCACAGGAGGCCCTGGTCTGTGTAGTCAGGCAGTTAATTATTCATTCCACTCCTTTCCTCTTTCCTCCCTGAAACCCACCTTTTCAAAGTAAAAACAGGAAAAACTATCTGGGTTAACCTGCGGAATACTGTTTTTATCAGCCCATTTGGCCCAGAAAGGACACCAGGCCCCCAGCCCCTTACTGACTCTCAAAAAACAGAAACAGCACTTTAAAATGACATCTCGTTATCCAGCTGTGTCACTGACAGATAAGGACGTGGATCCAGAGAAGAACCTGTCCAGGCGTCCTATAGGGTTCTGTCCGCATTGCGCTGTGAGCCTGAGTTCAGTCCTGCGCCAGCCTTTACAGTTAGAATGCAAAGGGCTGCTCTAAGACTGCATTTAAAATTCCGCTTTACAGTTGGGTTTTTGTCGTTTGCCAAAATTAAATAAAAATAACCTAGGAAACTGGTGTGGCCAGCACTAAAATCCGTATCCGTTTTCTCTACCTCCCTGCCACCATCATCCTCATTCACTGGGTTTTATAAGCCTAAGTTGTACCTACAAATCCCAGTTCCCCACGTGACAAGGAGGCTGGAGAATTTGTGTTGCCCACGTTCTCCAAGGTGGAGTCAAGTTGGAACCTGGGTTCTTTCCATCTAAGCCTCCTTACTGATCTTTGAAAGAGCTGCCTTATACTTCCATCCTTAAGATTCACCTTTGAACCCTGTGAGAACAAAGTCTGCATCCTGAAGCCCTTATAAGTCTCTTTTGGTCAAACATACTTGGAATTTAGAACTCTTTTGGACTTTAGAAAGCTAACATACATGACACATCCAGGGGGCCTGGGGCAGCACCCCTACTACTGCACTCTATCCTGTCTGTCTGCAGGAAGTGGTAGAACAGTCACACTGTAAGTAATTCCAAGGTCAGGTTTTGGGCAATGGCTTTCAGAACTGCAGATGAAGGAATGATGCCACTTGGCCCTTCAGATACTGTGAAGCGATGAGCACTCCCTCCCAGAACTTCCTCCTTCAGAGGCAACTCAGGCCCATGTGGAGGGTGGTGTGGTGGTGGTGGACTTGGCATTGTGGGTGGGCAAGTGTCTATATCTTTAAAGAAAAGAGGAATCCAAGATCAGATCTGCTAATCTTTCTGACATCCTCTTTCCTTGACCACATTGGTTCATCGGTTTATCACTATGTGTGTTTTACACGCTGCACTCAGAAACATCTAGTTTTGGTTTATGTTATAATGGTACTAGGGGAGCTAGTAGGGGCTTTTAACTGGCCTTGTCTATACTATAGAATTTAGAGAACAGGGTAGTCTGATGTGTTCTTATAAACACTTCATATTTGCAAGTGTGTGTGTGTGTGTGTGTGTGTGTGTGTGTTTTAACTGGTCCTTTCCATCATTCTCTTCCTCATTCTCATCTCCTACGCTCAAGTTGTAGCCTGACTTAATAGCAAAAAAATAACATTTTTTTTCTTGGTCCGCCATAATTTATAGTGACAGGAGGATGGCCCTGTGCTGAGTCCAGACTGGGACCATATTTCCAACCCAAGAGCAAACCGAGGTAATCCATGTAACATAGCTTGAATTAAAGAATAAACTAATGGGTGGGTAGACATGTTAGTGAACTAGAGATAAAAACAGATCAAACACTAGACATGTTTATTATCTAAAACAAGCACTGCACTGTTTCCTGGTGTGGATAACATTCTAGTTTTAAAAAAGATCTATAGAAACTAAAGGCAATGCAATGTAATTATTTTGGATTTCTACTGTCAGAGGTGAGAGATTTTATTAAGTATCAACTTGTTGAAAAAGCAACTACGAAGTCAGAGGGTGTTAAAATATTCTGTGTGTTGTATTTTTAGGGCTGAGGTTGGAATTTCATTCTCACGTTATGGGATTGGGCCATGGCTGCAGCTTACACTGTTCATAATTATGATTACGATAAGGCTGCTTAAGCGCTAAGGTGCCGGGCAGTTGGGGGGGGGGGCGGGCGTCGGGAAGTGGGGAGGCTAGAGAAACCAGTGCTAGTCTTTAAATCAAAATTTACTACCAATAAAGGGTGGGGAAATGGATCACAGGGAAGGTAAGCATTTT